GGAAGATATTCTTTGTTATATAACAGAATCTTTTTTTTTCCATGACATGTTTTTAAAGTTCGTATTCTAATGAAATTGTTCTTTGTAACTGCAAATATTTCTTTCAATGCTGAGTAAAGATTTTTAACTAAAATAAGCCGGAACACTTTGGAGATGTGGTTATTTTTGTCCTTTTATAGGTTAATCTAATTTAAGTGGTTCAATTAATGGAGCCGAATAAGCGTTTATGTGGGACACAATCAAATGCAATCTTTTGCAAAATCAATATACAATCCTCAAGTAATTTTCTTTCGTCAATACAGCTAGAAATAATATTTAAACACTCTAAAAGATTATTTGAACAGTTTCTACCTCATCTAAAACCATGTAGATGAATAGTCAAAAGTTGATTGGAATTCAAATAATTGATTACCTTTTCAGCTACAATTCGTTCTAAGATCCTACAGCGAATTGAAACCAACGATGTTGGACGATAATTATAAGGTTTGAGTTTACTCCCTTTTTTTGAAAAGAGGAGTTATATTTGCTTCTTTCCATTCTTTCGGGATCAAATCACTTGAAATTGACTTCTATTAAATAAAATATAAATAAACTCATACGTCATACCGTTTGCAGAATGCATCAATGCGGATTGTTGAACACAGTCAGGACCAGATTTTTTATTGTTTGTTTTTAGTATATAATTTTTTACTAAATCTTCAGAAACATATATTTCTTCTAATGTATTTTGGTATCTAGTTTTGAATTCTGGTAGTGTCTTCCAATGTTCATATGTATAAACAAAGTTATAATAGACGTTCAAGGTGCATGCTAATTGTTTCTTATCAATGACATTTATACCGCCCTTATTTTCAACTGCTACAATTTGATGTTTAATTTTTGATTTTCTATTTTTATATTAATACAATCGTTGATAGGTTTTTGTGCAAAAGATTGATTCCAATCCATAATTGGCATGTTTTGATTGATTTTTAAATAGTCATTTCTCTTTTAATTTCATGGGTTATTGTTTACAATTGAATTAATAGTTATTTTGTTTACCGAGTTGATATTATAATTTAACAGATTGTGAGTTTGTTTTTTTAACTCGAAGTTGTTGCGGTGGTGTCTGAAACTTCAAGTGGTAGTAAATGAATTATGTATGAAACTCTGTTTTTATCGTTGACAATTTCTAAATTCAAAAATTCATTTCATTCGCAGGTTTTTTAAAAGTTACTTTTAGAACCACTTGTTTGAAAAAGTAGTCGTCTAAATAATTTAAAAACTAATAAGATGGTTTCCACTATCACCACACGAATATGGATTTTCATTACTCCATATAACTTTGTCAAATTCAAAATTACATAAAATTAGTAAATCCGAAAATTATCCTCTTATCATTGCATTTTTGGCATTATATATTGAAGTTATAATCGAGTTCCCAGTGGGAAAAAAGACATCTTTAGACGAATAAAAGGCGTCTTTTTTATGACTTGTTTTGTCTTTTTATAATCAGCCTAAATAAAGACGTGGAAAGACGTCTTTTAAAAAGACGTCTTCATAAAAGAGGTTGAAAAGACGTCAATAAGGAAACCATTATTTGCTTAAGAAAATTAAAAAAAATTATTGCCAATAGAACCTAACAAAAATGGGTTTAAACCCACAGTATCGTAATTACGATATCTTTGTTACGTTATAATTGGCCCGTTTTTTGTCTACAAAATATTTTTATATAACTTTTTTTATGTGAAACGTTTTTGCATAGAAAATTTAATGTATATATATATATATATATATATATATATATATATATATATATATATATATATATATATATATATATATATATATATATATATATATGTATATATATATATATATATATATATATATATATATATATATATATATATATATATATATTCAAATATTGTATATTATGTATGTATATTATGTGTTTGTATATATTGTATATGTATTGTATATTGTATATTGTATATGTATTGTATATTGTATATTGTATATGTATATGTATATGTATATTATGTATTTGTATATATTGTATATTATGTATTGTATATTATGTATGTATATGTATGTATATTATGATTAAATGTTTTGGTTTTCAATTAAAACATTTAACGCATGCGCAATCTCAACATTCTATATTATTTTAAAAAAAAGTTTAAAATTTTATTTTATTTAAAATATGTTTATTTTTCAATTATTGTCGAGGTATGTCATCTGACCTAAGACACGCTTCGAAAAAGCTTTCGCAGTGTGTGATAAGCATGCCTCACGCATTCTTGAAATTAGTTCATTTCTTCAAGCTGGTGCCGTATTTCTTCGCACGTTATTCTTAAGATAAAAAAAATCTCTTCACACGGATTCAAGAATGGTAAATATGGTGGCAAATATTTTACTTAAATGTTCTGAGCCCTCATCTCAACATAATAATGGATTCTGACATTATCCATCACCAGGGTGAATTCTTCCTCTGTCCCCAAAACTCGTACAACTTCATCAATATACTCTTGAAACAAAACTGTGTTGACTGACACACTGACAGCTTCGCAGTGAATAATATTTAAACCATTGACGGCCAATATAATCGAAACGTTACGTTGTCTAGGGTGAATGATTGGGTTTGGTGTTACTCCTCTTTTTGCCCATGAATGACTGCGAAACATGTGTAAAACCCATCTCCAGACAGTTTTAATTGATACATTTACATTTAAAGCATATTTAATTTCAATTGTAGTTGTCGATGTGTTATCGTTTATAAGCTCTTCAATTCTTCTTCTAATCTCTTCATTATAAAAACGTGACGAGCGCCACCTCTAGAACCAGGAAGTGTTGAATTCGTTCGATCGTACCTTCTTATAATTGATTGTATTGTTTCGATTAACTCCTGTTAACGATGAAGCTTCAGATTGAGTTTTTCCTTGATCAACGACTAGATTTACAACAAGATCTCGCATGTTTTGGGAAACGGAATTTCGCGGCATGAAGATTCAGATTGATTTTTTCGTGGCAATGAAGTTTCAGATTGAATTTTTCTTTGATCAACGACCAATCTCAAAACAAATTTTCGCTTATTTTGGCAAACAGAATTTCGCTGCATGTTTTTATGAAAATCTAATATTCTCATGCGCTGAATATTTTAATAGGATATCATGGTTGTTTTAATTATCATCATGCATGTTTTAATTGAACATCATGGTTGTTTTGCCAATACAGTATGTGTATAAAAAATAAGTAAAAAAATATGGTTTTGCATCCATTTAAAACAAACGTGACATCCATTCAAGTTTAAAATAAATTCCATTAAATTAAATAAATTATTATAATATTAATAAAAATAAATTTATATAATATTAGATAAATAAATATATAAAGAAGACCTTTTTTTTAAATAATATAGAATGTTGAGATTGCGCATGCGTTAAATGTTTTAAATGAAAATCACATTGTTTTAATTGATTGTCGGGGTGTTTTAAATGAATGTCATGGTTGTTTTAAATGGTTGTCATGATGGTTTTAAATGGATGTAAAAACCGGTATATATATATATATATAATATATATATATATATATATATATATATATATATATATATATATATATATATATATATATATATATATATATATATATATATATATATATATATATATATATATATATATATATATATATATAGTGAAATAAATATACAATTGCAGCTGTTTAGCTAAAAAAATGTTAATCAGAAGAAGCAAAAGTGAATGGCGTGGTGCCAGTAAGATGGTATCGATATGATCTAGTCTCAATTAAGTTAGTTGCAGGTAAGTGTTTTAAAAAGTTTTAACGTTTATTTTTAGACTAATTTTTTAATGTATTGTGCTTGAAGAACGTTGTTTATTACATATTAAATTAAAATATTTATTTTCAGACGAAAATAAAACCTGTAAACAATTTATCTCTATATTTACATTCAGTAGTATTATTCGATAAGCATTTAGTAGGCTTGCAATTTATTTTTTTTATATATTTTTAAATGATCCTCGCAGACGGAAAGTCACGTGGTTATACAAATTAACAATAGCGCAAGTTGTTACCATCTTGAATGGGGGAAAACAAATGATTAGTTGAGTTAATAAAGCAGGAGAATTTGTACGAAAAAGTGATTTAAAGAGTTTAAAAAAAGAAAATTCGGTTTACAAATACTTTGAAAAATTAGATTTTAACACCGCAGAAAGGTATATTAATAAACTTGCAACCCTTGGAATCAACCGATGTCTATACAATTCCTTGCAAATACTTGGAAAGATGATCAAACTGAATGACCATGAGTTCAATTCCATGACGTTTATAATTATTTAATAAAAAGTTCTATAATTTTTTCTTTTGAGGCTATAGATAATTACGAAGCATTAGATGCTTATAAATATTTTGGCTTTGGCTAGATGCAGGAAGTTTTTTACACGAAGTTAAACACTAGTTTTGTTGTCTTGAAAACACAAGTTGTCTAACTTGTGCGTTTAAAACAACAAAACCATCTTAGTCACAAGAGTTGACTCAAAATACCAAAACCATCTTATAAAGCGTATATATATATCAAAAATCACCTATAGACACAACAATTCTTGGGCATTTTAAAGACTTTTATGTTAAGCCATTGTTTTCGTTTAAGAAAGAAAGTTTATTTTCCCCCAACTAAAATGATAGCTGTTCGCGGCAAAGATAATGACGTATTTCCGACTGCGAGGATCTGAATAATTTTGTTGTTTTTATTTAGTTGAATGATTAAATTGTTTATACAAAAGGGCGGCTCTTTAACTTTTATGTTAAATATCTTATTTCCTTGTTAACTGTTGTCTGTCATTAACAAAGCAATTGTAAAAATATACATAATGACAACAGATTTATATTTAGAACTGTTTGCAAAATTTTTGGTTTGGATACAAAAAACCAAGTGAAAATGATACTGGAAAGGTACACTTTCTTATATCTAAACATCATTGCAGCTTTCTAGTCTTCATTTTTTGTTTATGTGTATTTCATCTGTGTTGATAATGATATCGCCAGTTTTTATGATTTTATGTTGTTAAGTAAAGCATCCTTATGTTTCAGGCTAAAATAGAGCTTTGACTAATACTTTTTTCCAGTTTAAATGAATAACAACTCTCAATGCGTATTAGCTGAAATATCTTTTTGTTTTGATAGTCTTTAGTCAATAACGGATTTTTAAATTGTTATGAGTCTACAACACTTTATTTCAACGAAATTCTATTAAAAAGGCATGTTATAGAAGACAGAAAAATGTCAATATCTGTTTTCAATAGCTTGATTTAAGTTCTACATAATAAAATACATCGTTGTACAGTCATTTTGATGGTTGTAAATTTATTTAGCACACTCATTTTTATATATTTTTAGACTGTTTACCGTTTGACTCCTGTCCCAATCTAACCTAGTGGGTTTAAAAAAAAGCGACCGCGCTGGAAACATAAGTGGATTAAAAGGATCAGCCCTTTTTGAATTAATAGTCGGTGAGTATAATGTGCTCCACTCAGCTAATCAAGTTTCGTTTGCTTTTTTTGTATTACATTTAAGCAATAGACTTTTTTTTATGTTCACTTCTTTTTTTAGAAGTGGTAACTAGCTAGAAGTCGTAACCTGCTCGTATGAAAGGATTTCTCGACGTGAAATTGTTAATTTTATTCAACAACGCCAAGAAACAGAGCTCTCTCAAGAAACAGAAAAGAAAGAGAAAGCTGAAAAAATATTCTGTTGAACAATACTATTGTTTTATTTATAAATTATTTTCCTATATTTAAACATTTAAAAGAGGTAGAAAATGCTTCCTCTTTTATATTGACATCTAAAAGAGGTTTTTTTCTCGGCATCGGAAAAAGCTTTTTGTCATACTTTGTATGAAGAGCTATTATCATTTTCATTTGAAAAAAATAGCTTTTCATATAAGAAAAGTAGGAATACTATATTGTATAGGATACTATAGTATAATAATAAGTATGGCAAAAAAGTCGTTCCAACCCCGAGAAAAAACAGTTTTTTAGAAGTGCATAATTGATAAACAAAGACGTCTTAAAGACGCATTTTTTATGTCTTTTCATGACAAGATAACAAAAAAGACGCGTTTTCAATGTCGAAAAAAGATGTCGTTAAGATTTGCATATTTGACAAAAAAAAATGCGTCTTAAAGACGCATTTTTTATGTCTTTTCATGACAAGATTAAGATAAAAAAAGATGTCTTTTTGATATCGAAAAAAGATGTCTTTTTTAGATTTGCATAATTGATTAAAAAAAGACGTCTTAAAGACATCGTAAATAAGACTTTTAAAGACGTCTTTTCGACGTCTTTTTTCCCACTGGGTTATTGTTTTCATTAGATAATATAGAGAGTCTATAAATAAACCCAAATAGTAACTTTTCTTCGCCGACTTGCAATTATATCCATATTTGTTCAATATTCGTAGAGGTGTTCAATATTCGTAGATCAATATTATTTTTAGAAGTATCTACCAAGACTCAGAAACAAAAAAAATACGTTCTTTTTTAAGTAGCGCTTTGACTTCACCGGGTTTTTTTTTTGTTAGCAACGTCGCATTTGTTAACCACACTTTAATGCTAAAATTTTTAGTATTTTGTTTATCTTTTATAAAATTACCATAGTTTTTACTTAATAGTAAAAATAAATAAATAAAAACTATATTAGGCAATAGAACCTTTTGGTAGGCTTAATAGCCTACCAAAAGGTTCTATAGCCTTATATAGTTCTATTGGTTCGATATCATTTCCTATTGATATAACATTATGATTTAGTTTAATTACTACTGTGTTTGAATTGATTTTATTGTTTGATTGAGATTCTAACAACTTCATTGTCTCAAATCTTATTTTATAACCATTAACACCTTTTTTTAAATTGATTGTTCAATCTATTTTTTACTAAAAATAACAAAACATTTTTGACAAGATCACTTTGCATTTGGTTAAATCAAGATTAATAAATACGTTTTTGAACTGTTCGTCTATTCTTAATTTTTTTTCTGATCGTATCAGTTTCGATCATCAGGAGTTTTTCAATTCCCCATGCACTGGTTCTGTTTTCTCATATTTTGATCTAGATTTGTTAACTTTAACAATTTTTTATTTTTAATGCAGATTACGAAAAGAGTTGTCTAATATGGTTTATTATAACAGAAAAAAAAACACATGTAAAATTTATAATTCTATTTGTGTTAAAAAGCTAACTAATAGATATATTTAAATATTTTACGTTCCAAAGGTAATCCACTGCTGTAAGCTGGAAGTCCTTCTTGAATTGGTGAAATAGTCATTGCATTCATGAGAATTACAATAAAAGATTTGGCATCCATATTTGAATTATTTAAAGAAGATCAAATTAAAAGAATCAAAAAATTAGAAGATAAAAACTATTAGAAAGTGAAATTTAGCATTGAAGGCAAAAGTATCAGAACTTGAGACAGCTAAACCACCACTATAAAGTTTATAAACATCAACTTTAGTAAAGTCTCGGAGTACTGTTACGGAGTTACTGCAAATAAAACCAAAATCAATATGCCTTATTTGAATGTTAAAGAATCACTTAATAAAGAGTTAAGTGAAATGAAAGCTTTGGAACCATTGATGTTTAATTGCTTCTGAATTGATTTTAATTTTGCTCATGATATTACTAAATGATTTAAATAGGTTTTTATTCCTCTACATAACGTTGTCTTAATTAATAATATAATGTCTTTAATGGATATAAATACGTTCTACATTATATATATATATATATATATATATATATATATATATATATATATATATATATATATATATATATATATATATATATATATATATATATACATTGTATTTTTTGAATTGACTTTATATGTTGATAACAGGAATCAGTACAATTCGCGTAAATTTTTATGCTGTGATTAGCGGCTATCATCTAATTAAATTTTTTACGTTGTTAAATTTTATCATCACGCATGGATAAATCTGTGGCGCGAAATTTCGATGCTAAAATAATAAAGTTGATATTTTCATAAAGAAAAATATGTTAGCTGAAAATCCAATCCATTTTTGTTTGAAAAACAATGCATAGAAACATTTAGTTTTGACTTTATTTATAGATGCCATTTTTATGTACTATAAGCATGCTCAAATTACCCAGTGTTTTTCATTAAAATTACCTAGTTTAAAGTCCTAAAATAACAGTGGTTTAACGTCCTAAAATAGCAGTGGTTTTAATTGCTTGAATAAAAACAAAGCATAGTAAAAAATTTTAATAATTTTACTAAATATTTTTCTGTAATTTTAATACAAAAAATTTGAATTTTTAACGTTCAAATGTTTGAGTTAATGTTTTTATTATACATACATATCTCATATATACAAACATTTTGAAAAAATAACGAACTATTTTTTTTTTTATTGTTGCTGTTTTTTTTTACGGAAAACCTAGTAGTATTGTTTCAACAAAAAGCGGCTTAAAATTTGATATTTTTCAGATAAGTTTTGTTAATAACGAATTATATTCCAAAAATTATATTCCAAAAATTAGTTCTAATTGTCAAGTTAGCATTTTTTTTTACTTAATTAATGTTATTTTTTTGAGCTTATTTAAAATGCTTATATTACCAAGTGGTCTGGGTAATTTGAGCACTTTTGCTACTTTTTAAACGTCTGTATTTTTAAGAAAAAAATTCGGGTGTTCAAATATCTAAGTGGAACATGAGTAGGGATCCCTAAAAATTATTTATTCGTAAAATTTTGGATCCAGCATAATTATTTTTTTAAAACATTTCAATTTTCGTTTAAGGTATTAATTTTACCCTAAAGTACACTACATATTACCTCTTATTACTCTAAAGTACCCTACATATATATAGATAATAATAATCATCACTCTCAAATTTTAGAAAAATTCCTATTTCAATTAACAATAGACTAAACCAAAACTCGTCTTATGATAAATTAAAAAAATCTTTTTAACTCTAAACGTGTGTGTGTGTGAAGATGCTCTTATAAAAAGCGGATTTAAAATTTCGAGATAAAATTTGAAACAAAAGTTCCCAAAAAGCGATATAAAAATAGAAATATAATTTGGTTCAACCCTCCGTACAGCAAAAATGTTTTAACAAATATTGGAAAAACTTTTTTTAAATTAATGGACAAATATTTTCCTCGCGCTAATAAATTGCACAAAATTTTTAACAGAAATACTATTAAAATAAGCAATAGCTGTACAAAAATATTAAAAGAGTTTTAAAAAGCCACAATTTTGTATTAATTAATAAAAATAAATTTCTTATAGAAAAAAATATTTAAAATTTGAAATTGTTACCCATTTGGATCATGAAAATTTCTAAACTAAATTTATCCAAATCTTAAACAATTTTTTTCATAATTAATTTTTAAATTTAATGTAGATGCAACTTCCTGGTTGCAAAAGAACTACAACTATTACATAATTAACTATAACAATTCCCAACTTCTTGTGAAATATTTGTTCAATAATTTGAATTTTTTAATATTTAGATATTCTTCCTGATGGACTAATGTCGAAGAAAAAAATAAGTGTTTTTACTAATTTATATATATATATATATATATATATATATATATATATATATATATATATATATATATATATATATATATATATATATATATATATATATATATATATATATATATATATATATATATATATATATATATATATATATATATATATATATATATATATATATATATATATATATATATATATATATATATATATATATATATATATATATATATATATATATAAAGAGAGACAGAGAGAGAGAGAGAGAGAGAGAGAGAGAGAGAGAAAGAGAGAGAGAGAAAGAGAGAGAGATATTAATAAATAATGGACCTAATAAAGTAATCAATTATTTATACTACAATAATTTCAAAATCATTAACTTTAAAAGAATTCATCTATAATAAATACCTCTATTATGTTTAAAAAAACCAACTAATGATTTCCACTTTGTAATCAAGGTATTAAGTTTATCTTTAAGTAAATCAATTTGTCCATATTCTTGAACTACAGTTTCTGTTATTTCAATTGTTCTTAATTTGTCATGGTTATTAAATTTTTTTATATTTATGTTATTTCTCCCTATAATATTAAAAAATTTATTTTATAATAATAATAATAAGTACAATTTTGAAAATAATAAAAAAGTTCTGACCATTACAGTTGGTATATCGTTTCATATTAAATTTCTTTAAAAAATCTGTGTATAAATTTAAACATAAATGACATTAAATGTGCATAAATGACTAAAACATGGAAAATATTTTAATGAAGGATCTTATCAATATTATATAATAATTAGTATTTTAGTTACTTAGTTAATTATACGTATTTCATTCATGAACGTAATTAATTATATTTAGTTAAAGTTTTAAAAAAATTTTCCCACTAAGAACTGTTTTGCAAGTTGCGGTGCGAAACAATTTTCGTTCGAGAGAAGTTTTGTCTTTTATCATTATTTCAATAAAAAAAAAACCTTAAAATAATTATATGTTGCGATACTGAAAATAAAATTATTATAAGTATTATTATTATAAACATTTTGGTAAAAGAAGATTTTATTTTTACAATTATATCCATTAGGCAAACAAACTTTTTTTATAGACTTTAAAACGTCGTTTAGCGAAAGTGCTCGTTCTCCAAGCGCAACTTTCGTAAGCGCCACTTTTGTATGTAGCAAAATAGTTTTTTTTCGTAATTCAACTTGCAGAAAGGCTAAATAAAGTAGCATTTGCAAAATAAGCATCGACAATTTTAGATATTTTTTAATATTCGGTACGAAAAAAGAAATACTGATTTGATTCTTAATATTTTTCTGTAAGATTTTTATTTTTCCGGAATCGCACAAAAGCTTCTGGTTAACAACTCTGTGAAACCGAAGTCCCAGTGTAGTTACATATATCGACTGACTTAAGTAGGTATAGAGGAAGTGGAATGTACATACATTATTTTTTGCGCTACCATGGTTCCATATAAAGTTGTACAAATTAACAGTGATTTAACGGACAAATTACCTCCGACGATATTTAATTTTTGATAAAAAACATAGTTTAATAACTACTAAAATACAACATTTTACTAAAATTTAATTCAATTTACAAACTGAATTCCAAATTCGTATTTTAAATATAAAGACCTTAAAATAAACAGCAGCGGCGCATTGGTTAAATCACTTGCTCTAGAAACAAGATATTTAGGGTTTAATGTGAGCTCTCGCGTCATCGGTATAGGATGGAGGCTTGAATTTCATAAATGGTCTTCTGCGGTGCTCTGGGACAAGATCATTTGGACTTCTTGGAGAACCTATAAACCAAGTTACAAAACAAATACTTTTGATAAAAATATTCACCAAAATATTAACAAAATTTTATATAACTACTACGTATTCAAAAAAAAAAAAAAAAAAAGAAAAAGAAATATAACTAACGACAAAAAAATTTGCAAGTCACATCACTAACAGTTTGGTCAATCATACCAAATCAGCTAGCACTCATAATTTTATCTTTTTGATTCTGCTAATTTTCACATATGTAGCATTAAAAACTGCATTTGTAGATTGTTCAGGAATGATTAGGTATTTTTTTTAAGTTTGGAAAGTTACAGTACTTTCTTGCCATCACTAGCCAATTCGAAAAAAAAAAATTTTTCAAAAGAAACCCTGAAAATAAATACTTTGATTGATGAAATGGAAGGGGGTCCTGTTTTAAATTAGCCCCGAGCCATAAAAAATCCTAATCCGACACTATCCATCCCACCCGTCAAAAAAAAAAAAAAAAAAAAAAAACGCTTCAATTTTGAGTTTGGTATTAAATCTTAGGATATTATCTCTAGATGACTTAACAAGTTTTTTTAGTACAAGTCACCATCAAGTAATTTGTTTATGAGGTAGATTCAAATAAATCTTTTCTGACTATGTGTTTTTTTTATTATTATTAAATACTCCAACAGTTACAATTTCTTATCATTGTCAAAAACGTATACAATTTTTGTAACATTAAGTACATTGTTTTCTGCTAAGCTAAATTTGAAAGATTGAAAATCAAATTAATTTTGAGATACTTTTACGAACACATTTTTTTCTTATCCAATTAATATTAAAGATGTTTTCAGTTTTTTATTAAAAATATTAAAAATATATTTAGATTTTTTTTTACATTCGTTAAATTAATGAATAACAATTTTTTCACTATTTTATTTATACCTGCTTTTTAAAAGAAACTATTTTGATTACTGTTACAAGTAACAACAATAAGTAATAACAATAAGTAACAACAATATAAAAATTTAGTGATTTGATTATTTTGATTTACATTATATAGTAAATCTATATTTTTAATAATATTTCATCAAAACGAGTATTGCCTTGATTGACCTGAATCACTCTCTGCTCCTAGCTTCCAAATTGCTGTGGAACCAGCATATTGAGCTCCAGTTACAACCTATTTTGAAACGGAATCAAATGCCTTAGACAGGTCAATCATATTAGCATCTGCAAATTTCTCTTGATTAAATCAAGTGCACTAACCCATCAGCAACATAGATTATTGATAAAAATTATTGTTTTTATTATTACTTTTTATTAAATATAATTTTTAATTAATTTAAAAAACTCCTGAACAATTTTGAAAATCGAGGTTAGTCCACTGAGGGCCGTCCGGAAGGGGGTGCCCCCCCCAAAAAAAAAATAAAAGCTGTCATATAAGCATTTGAATTAGCTCATTGAGCAAGTTTTGAACTATAGTTGGCAAATTACAAATATTGAGGACCTTTTTTTTTATCTTTATTGGTTTTAGTTGGCAAAAAAATACTTTTCCCCTCCCCACCCCCCATGGAAGACCTCTTCGGGTCCACTTGGCCCTAACAACATCCATATATGGTCACTCGGAAAAGGTTTAAAATGAATAGTGAATGTCTAGAGAGGTGACACCAACCCTAGTGATGCCACTGTTCTGAAGTAGTTATATATTTTCGGATATTTTGAATCCAACTGAAGTACTTATTGAACGGAGTAGTTTTAGATGCTATACCAGGACGAGATTTAAATTTTCCCACACAATTCATCAACATTTGTTATTATATTTCTAACGGCAGCCGAAAGAGTAATAAATAATATCTTTAAGAAGATAATTGAAAAATGACTGTTATTTTTGATGGTGTATCGCCAAGTTTTGAAAAAGTTGAAGGTTCTATCACACGTATAAGATTTACTAGATATATTCTTTTTTTAACAAGGGCTTTTTTGAAATTTATTATCAAGTTTTAAATATTCTATTGACCTATCATGCTTAAGTTGATCTGGAATGCTTTTTATGTGAAGCAAATTTAGTAAAAACCTTATTTTAAAATGATTAACCAGTATTTTTTTATATATATATAAAGTTGTTTTTCTAGAAACATTTACCATCAATTAGATTAAGTTGTTAATACTTTGTAAAAATGTTATTAAAGATTGTTTATTTAACCTTTATCTTTTCTTTTATTATTATGTTTTTAAATATATTCAAAATCAATAAGTTGATATGTCCAATATAAAGAATTTATTTTAAAAAATCTATGTTTGTGACTAAATTTCTCAATAAACAAACTTCTATAAATAACTTTTAAATAATACTTCACTTTTATCTATTAAATTTTTATTTGCATTAATTCATAGTTTTTTTAAATTTTAAATTTAGACTGTAGGGTTATTAAGATTAACAAAAATTGTTTGCTGCATAACAATTTTGTGTGTATATATGTTATCATTCCATCTATCGATTTTTGCATACAACGTCTATCCACCTAATATTATAATTGATTATTTAAAATCCATCTTTCAACCAGTTGGAAATGTTTCAACAGTTTGAAATGTTTCAACTGTTTTTCTATCAGGTGGCTAGTAATGAATATATTGTCTTTTTCACATGTATTTTCTAAAAACCATTGTTTAAAAAGTTTTATGCAAAAATTACAACAAGATAGTGTGTTTGCAATCTTAAAGTAAAAACTTCATTTATTTATACCAACCAAAATGATAAAATGAGATGCTCGTGGTCTTGTCATTTTACAGTTAAAAAAACAGTACGCTAAATTATAAAAATTTAAATATAATATTTTTTGTTATAATTATTAAGTTTTAATTTTTTTATATTCAATTCAAAACTTTTTTATAAAAAAAATTCTTTTTAAAACAAAAAAATACTTTTAAAAAGGTTTTTAATTATGTACTCTCCTTTGTTCAAAATATATAGAAAACGTAAAAACTTTTTAATTACTTTTTGAAATATGCAACATAGAAGTTATGTTTTTTACTATTTGTTTTGAAGAGATAAAAATGATTCGATAAAAATAACCCCTAGGATTGCATAAAACTCTAACCCTTCACTCTAACTCTAACTATTCAATTATTTTTAGTGTACATTTTCATGTAAGTCATTATTAAGTCTTTATCTTTCATGTCTTTGTGTACCTTTAGCAAGTTTTAGTTTCCTACACTTTAATTGATTATTACAGAGAATTTTATGCTAATTAGAATAAAAGAAAATACATGTATAAAAAGATTGTGATTTGAAAAAATTGTTCTAATTTCAAGTTAAAATAGAAAAATTTTACTGTATATTTTATTTTGTTACATTATCTTTTTAATTAAGAATTGAATAAGTTAATACATTTTCACTTTAATTGACTTATTAAAGGACAGGTGTCACTAAGTTTAAATGCATTTACAGTGGGATGATTATATATTGAAAGTTTTGGTTAGGGGTACACCCTCCCACTCCTGCATTTTGCTATACGCTTTTTTGAGTACCCTCCACCTCCCTAAAAATACCTACACTTTTAACCTATTTATCTAACATTTTTATTATGTTTTTTTTAATTTAGTGTCTCCTTTCTTTTATTATTGACTCACTGTCCTCCCATCTTATATATGCCATTTGCAGACCCCCTCTTCCCTCTCTGAGCATACTTACTTTATGGACAATCCCTCATGTCACAAAATGATTTTATGACATTACCAAAAATTTGTGACATTGTCAAAAATTTGATTTTGTGACATTACCAATTTCTTATAACAACTTATGCTACATATAATAATTCAGATTGCAGCCCTATGTTATTCACATTAAAAGAGTGAATTATATAACCTAATATCAAATAAGTTTAGGGTTGCCAGACATCCGCTTTTTACAAAGGAGAACACAGTAAAAATATTTATTTCTACAGGTTTGGCACTGTATTCTCCTCCGTAAAAAGCTGGACATCTATAAATAAATAAGTGGGACCAACTTTCATTTTAATTATTTATTAAATTATTTATCTGAGTTCAAAAAATAATGTTTAATTTAAAAGAAAGAATAATAAATGATACTTAATGGAATAGAAAATTACCAAAAAAAACTTGTATTAAATTTAAATTGAATGATAAATTTATGAATTTAGCTTTAAAATGTGAGTTTATAAAACATGAGTAAGAATAACACAACAGAAAAAAGAGATATGGTCATTACACGGGAAAGTTTGCGCATTCCTAGAACTCGCAGTACAACTACTAGATGCCTGACTCCCCAACAACAAGAAACTAAGGAAGAGGGTAATATATTTATTTTTTCCTGTTATAACCTATTTTTGACAAAACAATTATATAAGTAATTAAATAGATGACAATTTATTTTGATTGAGCATTTTTTTAGATTATTATGTTGCAATATTTAAGTAATGTTGCAAGTTACAACTTTATGGAGTCTGAATATCTTTAACTTACCTTTAATAAATGTTCTTCTTTTCTACCTTTAATAAATGTTCTTCTTATTCACTTTTTTATTTTATTACTACACAGTGTGAAAAGTTACTAATTTTGTATTATTGTTTAAATTTTTATTTTGTATTTATAATAATATACTAGAAGTAATTAATACACTATCAATAAGTAGATCATAAAATGGGTAGTAATTAGTGATTGACTCGCAACTATACAGAAATTTTGGTTAATCAAAATTAATTCCATTAGGAAATGTAATTTAAAAAATATGTTTTTAAATTTGTTGTTTATTTGAATAAATACACACATTTCCCAAAGTTGAGTTTTAATTCATACAATTATGATAAAATTTTAGTTTTTTCATAGTTATCTGATAATAGCCTGTTTCTTTCATTGGTTAGTATATTTTCAGCTGTTTAAAATAGCCTTCCTATATTTGTTAATGTTGGTATAGGGGTGAAAAACCTCTTGGCAATTTTAGTAAAGGCCAGCTTAACTTGAATTGTTTTTGTTATTTTTTCAGAAGTCAAGACAGTCAGAGAATAATTGAGAATCCAGATAATTATTTGATATTTTTAAAAAGCTGATGGATACAAGCTGTTTACTTACTAAAAAACTAGTTAAATAGTGAACAATATGGTTAAAGTTTAATTTAAAATGATAAAATATTTTGTAAAAATTGCCAAAATGAATTTTTTTTTTAAATTATATAAAAATTTAAAATCGTACAATTTAAATTATAGTTTTTAATATGTTTTTTAACTAAAATTTTGTTTCATACTGAATTTATTAAAACTACTAAAATTGATTATTAATAAATATCTTATTATCATGATTATCAATAGGTATCTTATTAACTAAGCTCTAAAAGTAAATTAGAGGGTTTCATTAATAAAAAATAATAAACTCCAACATATACTTGTATGTACTACATTCAAAACATTTTGAAAATGATTAAAGTTTCAAAAATATATATATATACATATAACAGCAATAATGCAATAAATAACCATAAAATCTTGTTTTGTAATGTTACCAGAAAACAAAGATATTCTTATTTTAATTGTGTTAAATTCAGTTTCTTTTCCTAAACAGTCTATTAATCATTAATTAAATTAAGTTTTAAATCAAAAGATTTATTAAAATGGAGACATGAATCAGTTTCTTTAAATCAACCAAAAACTTCTTTTTAACAAAAGCTATTAACATAAATAAAATAATTCTTAAAACATAAATAAAATCTATTAAATTTAAAAAAATGTAACTCACTCCGAACAAAACTGCAAACAACCACTATTATGTTGGGAGTTACTAGAAAACAAAGAGTAGAGTGAAAGAGCAATTAAATGGTTGACAGAAGACTTAAAAAGTTGTATTTGTTTGATTTGTTTGTTGAGTCAGAAAAATATGAAAATGCTAGAGAGTTCCAAAACATTGAAGTGCGAAATTTTTTTTTAATATATCTAGTTTTTTTTGCCACACTTTAATAGGACATGTATAGAACGGAATCAAGATTAAGGAAACGGGGAGCATAATAAAAAAAGCAACCTAAGCAAATATTGCAATGGAACAATGATTGAATATATGGTTACCATGACAGGTCAGTAATTTTCCACAGTAATCCAAGATAAATAATTTAAGTAGACATAAAGTAGAGGATTCAGTGAGAGGGCTACCATTCATCAATATACGAATGTTAACAATATTGTGATTTTTTTGGAGTTGAACTTCACAAGCCATTTAATGCCCAAAGCTGTTACAGAAGAAAGATCAGGTTCAAGATTGGCTGTCTGTTCTAAGCAATCGAAAAACTTTTTGTCAAGACAGGAGTATAAAGTTGAGTCATCAGCGAATAGAGCCACTTTACATGTAAGGTTTTCAGATTGTTATTGCAGATAAGAAACAAGAATAGAACTTTGAGGTACTCCAGAAGTTACTGGAAATGAGGTGTTTGCCTTTAAGGATGACTTTATTACTGAAGTCAGAAGGAAATTATTTAATAATCCAAAAAAAGTATTTATATACATCATATGACAATCAGAAATATGCTAAGTGGAAGCATATAAAAGAATGGTCAGATGAATAAAACCTGACTTCTTGGAAAATAGGTGAATTGATGTATAAGTATATGCCCAAGCCAAGCATGTGACTATTGAAGTCTTTGTGAATCAAAAGCATAGTAGCCATCAATATTGAGATCTGAAAAAAAAACAGTCAAATTTATATTAGTCTCACAAAAAGCAAGCAAGTAATTCTGGCCTGGTAATTTGGCAAGAGGTAAGATTCAACTGATTAAAAATTAATTCGAAAAACAAATAGTTGTAAAAGATATATTGAAACAGTTAGGTGGTAGTGATGGTTTTTTATATTTAATATTTATAGTTACTTTGGTCATTGTTGAAGTTGAAGAAAACTTGACTCATTTCTTTTATCATAGTTGCTAATTTCAATTTTTATTACTTAAATATGATTTGAACTCTACCAATAAATGTTCAAGCGCTTCTTCTCATCCAATGACAATGAATCCATGTGAGTGTTGAAATGACACATTTAGCATCAACATATTGTTTGATCTCCAAATCATTTTTTAACAGTTGAATCATTTTCTCTAGAAATACACTAATGTGGTATTTCAAAAGTCTGAAGTTGACCGTTGACTAGCCATTATTTTCCATGCTGGTTTCAATATCTAATAATTCTAGTTACATTAAAAATAAATTCTAACAAATTTTTGACAAAAAAACACTGATTTTTCCTTTTAAATGCCTAATCTAAATAATGATAAAAACACTTTAATAAGTTAATGGACCTGAATAAATTTAAAAAAAAGAAATCAATTTATAAAAATTACATTAAAGGTTATATAATGATAAATTGATTAAATGATATTTATGCCTCTATTTGTTCTAGAGGCTCTCTCATCATTGACCTAGCAAGCTTTTATTAGGCTTTAACCCTTAATTTCCACGCTTGTTTTACAACCTTAAACACCGCCCTAGGCTGCTGCAGCCAGAGAGTAAATATCAGGCTTCAACATTACAAGTTCAGCAAGAACTGTTGTCTTTTTGATCCACTATGATCACCTTCCCACTGTGGCTTGTTAAAGAGGAACAAAATACTGGAGTTAATGGCAGCAAGGTTGAGGAGATGGCTAAACAAAGTCATTGGTCAACCCAGTGACTAGAAAATATTACAAGATACAGATTTATTAAAATTATAAAAATCATAAGGAAAAAAACTATTGTTACTAAATTTTAGTCTGACCTTTCGCCGTGTAGTGTATGCATGAGTTAGTTAGTCAACTGTATCTACACCAAACTTAGTATTATTGTATTGAAGGATTGAAAATGGTTTTCGATGCACTTCTTCTGACACTTCAGTAGATGTGTGGAGAGTAGACAACATGATAACAACCTTGTTAGTTTTTGGAATGTAACTTACTAGCTGCATTTTTTCAGAATACACAGTTATAGAATCAAATTGAGCTCGAGGAAGAAGTTGTTGGGAAGCAATATCGGGTTTGTTACGATTTAGGATTCCGAGGAGAGTAAGGTTCCGTACAAGAAGTTCTTTGGCTAGCGGAATAGATGTGAAGAATTGGTCAGTTGTGATATTTCTCCCACTGCCATGAATTGGTTCAGTTAGCTGTAACACCACTCATTTCCTTTGCCCTACTTCTCTTTCCCTATCAATCATTCCTAAATAAATCTTAGCATTATAAAAGTAGCGAGACTTTGAAAAAGTTAACGCCCATACTTTGATGCCATATTTGTTAGGTTTTTTTGGCATGTATACTTTAAAAGGCACTCGCCCATGTGTTGGAACTATTTGTTCATCAACACAAACCATATCGGAAACTATGAAGCATTGGCGACAACGTTTGAGAAACTGCTCCCATATGTCTCTAGAAGCTGCTAATTTATCACGTTGACGTCTTTCAGTACGTGTTTCCTTGTTGTCAAATCTCAGGAACTTTGTGATTAACTCAAATCTTTCACGAGACATTGTGGCTTTGTAGGCAGAAATTCCAAGTTCGTCACTCCACAATTATTTCATTAAATAACTAGTCTAAAGTACATAACTCAATATATAATTTTTATAGTTAAGGCTGCATCAGCCAAGGGCAGTTGCAATGAAAGTATTATACTTGAGATGGGGGGGGGGGGCAGGCGTTACCCAGCAGTAGAGTGATCAGCATTATGTGCCATTATAAAAATATTATAAAGTTAGGAAAAGTCAGGGAAGCTCAGACTCATTAGGTTCAGTTAAACCTCATAACTTTGAAAAATAATTTTGAATGGCTGCATCAGCCAGAGGGCGGAGTTTAAGGGTTAAATACTCTGTAACTTTAAATGATGTAGATGCAATTGAGAGTCTATAATTATTTGGACATCTCGTATTTACTCTTGACATATAATCTGATTTATAGAAACAAAACTTTTCTAATTAACATGTGTTTATTGCGATGCTTCTACGAAACTTCTTGATTTTTCAAACATTTTCATATTTTCTTCAACATGCTGATGTTTTCGCAAATTTTAAGTCCATTTTTATATGCATGATAAAGCATATGTTTTAAAGCTCTTTGTTTGCTTTTGATGCAAAAAATTGTAATAAATCATATACATCAAATACATCAAAGGTGTTATCAAATATATCAAAGGCACTTTAAGTCTTAGCTCAATTTTGCAACTCGCTCAAATTCGACACTTATTTCATTACTTTCAAACTTATTCTTTATTATTTTTTATTAGGTTAGTTATAATAACTTATTGGTCTTTACATATTTTTGTTCTTTTTACACATCTTTGCAGTTACTAAGAAAGCATTGTAATAGATAGCATTTGAATTAGTTGTATTATTGTAATCGATATCATTTGATAGCATTAGAATTGCATTGCAATAAAGATCATTTTAATAGAGATTTCATTTGGTAGAGAATTTATTATAGACAACAAATTAAGATAAACTACTTTTTATTATTATTATTATTGTTTAAAAATGTTTTAACATTAAAGTATTAAAAGAAAAACATGATTTTAAATACTTTTTTTGTGTTTAGGTTGTTTTTGTCTAGTTATGTTTTTGTGATTTTTTTTTTCTTTAAAGCCATTAGAAAAAAATAGTGTAATTAATATGTAATGATGTATGTTGTTTTTATGTATATATATATCATTGTTCTTGTTTAAATTGAATATGATTTGTTTTTGGTGATTTTAAAATAAAGTTAATCTTTGAATATATATAGGAATAATTTGACTGTTTTTCATTTTTTTTTGAAATTCTTTGTATTTTTGTGTGACTTGTATTTCTTTTTAATATTATTTTTATTTTCCATATATTTACTTGTACTTTTTTAATTTTTAGACTTGTTTTTAGTTATATTATAGTGGCTTATAACCTTATTCTGTAAAGTTCTATTTGTTTCAAAATTATTGTTAAAATTACTCAAAATATTTTGATATTTAGTTTCTACCCTCGAAATAGAGCCACCAATCAGACAACCAAAATGTCGTAGACAGTGGGAACAGTGGAGTGAAGAAGACCAAGAATGTTTTTTTCAAGGGTTAGCTGAACATGGAAAAGATTATGCTAAAATAAGAATATTTATGCAGAAAAAAAGAAAATTCAAGAGTAGTGATGATGCAAAAACTAGTGAACAAATTCGTTATTTTTATCATAGAACGTGGGCAAAAATATCTAAAACATTACTGCTATTACCTGAGCCTGACCCCAAAAAAGCTTGCAGACGTGAAATGCACTACATGATATGTTTAGGTGAACTCAGAAAAAAAGGTGTTCATGGCTTAGGTGAGAAAGTTGCAAAACAACTTGATGAACTTGTTACTAAAGGTTCAACTTATGTGAGATACAAAGGGCGCAATGTTAGGGTTCGTCCTCCCAATAGGTTTTTAAAAAAACTATACAGAGATAATAATAGTATACCTGATATTACATTACCAAAATGTGTGAGCATTGAGTTCTTGCCCTACTCGAACTCAGCATTTAATTATGTTCAGAAGCATGCATTTAACCCTCGTTTGAGATTTTTAAATGTTAATATTAATGCTAAATTCTCAGAAGTATTTGATATGTTTGATAGACGCTTTAATGATTTGTACACTAATGAAAATTTAAATCTTTTAATTTACCCTTCACTGCCAGATGACATTGATCAAAATCAATATGAAGAGAAGTTATCTCATGCAAAAGATATTTTTGAAAATAAGAAATCAGAAACACCTATTGTATTGGAAGATGCTCTTAGAAGTTCAGACAAAGAAGAATTGCCTGTAACAGAAGATGAAGATACATGTTGTGAGTTTCCAAAAATATTTGGAATTAAACATCTCAATAAAGAACCAATAGCACATTCAGAGCCTGTTCCAGAATCTTTTAAGGGCTACTTTACTTATTCCACAGCAGAAAAAGTTCATCTGAGAACACTTTTTGTTGCAGCAGGCCAAAAAGAACTTTTGAAATTTAAGTATGATTGGAAACTGTTTGAAGAGAAAAAACCGTCTTTTTATGTTGATACCCTTCAATTTTTAGTGACATTATCAAAAGCTGAAAATGAAAAAAAACAAACTAAGATAAAGCCTAAGGCCAATGTTAACCCTCAAGTTAAACAAAATCCAACTATTTGTGCTAAGGAACAAAAACTTGTAGTACCAGGTGTTATTTCCAATGCAGCTCTTAATGGGATACGTGTTGTAAATGGAAAAGAATTTGCCATTCCTTTTAGACCACGTCCTGGTCGAAAAGTACCTATAAGTTCAACTCAAAGGATTAACCAAAATAGGTTGTTAATACCAAGAGTTGGTTCCAACTCAAACAGTTTAAGTAATGCTGTTGCAGTTAATTTAATACCACAACCAGAGCAGCTTGTACAGTTTGCTAACCTTCCACCTGAATCTATCATGTTAGTTAATAGTGAAATTTCTAAAAATTCGCTTTCCTCACAAGTATATTCGTCACAAGTTGGTGCACCTGGTAAGTTTTTTTTTTTCTCTTATGAATTTTTGTGGAAATTGCTATTGGTTTAAATTTTTTAAATATATTTTTTAGTATATAGTTTTTATGAACAGTCATCTACTCATCCTTATGGAAATATCAACAGTTCTAGTGCAGATACACAATTATCTTATGAAGAAGTAGTATTGGATGAGGGTTTTAATAATCAGCATTTTAAGTCTTTATCGAACATTATAACCACTGCATCTGCATTTCAGAATGATCAAAATAAAAAACTAAATTTGTTACAAACACCAAATAAAAAGGCTTCTCAACCTGTCCCATCTTCTCCTAATCTTGACTGGTTAAATGCTGAAGTAAGACTTTTATTAAATTTATTTAAACAATATGTATATTCATACATGCATACATTACATACATACATACATACATACATACATACATACATACATACATACATACATACATACATACATACATACATACATACATACATACATACATACATACATACATACATATAAATTAGTAAAATCACTCATCTCATTTTTTTATCAACAAGATTTGACTTATTTTTTAATAAAATACTAAAGAAGTTGTTAAAAATGAGTATTTAAGGAAATGACCAAAGAAAAGTATTCTTCATACTGATCAAGTTTTTAGATACATGAAAAAAAATCCATTTGCTAGTGCCATAGTGCCAGACAATTTGTGACTCCAGAATATTTTAGAAAATATTGTACAGCAAAGTTTGGATGGTACAGGGTTGTATAGTTATTGTGCAGAAAACAATATGTATTCATATTGGCAAAGAACCAAAAAGCACATTCGGAGTTTGCCATGCTTCACAGAAATTGGATGGTAGTACTCTTCGCTGTAACAGTGGAGACAAATATTATGGTAGGGTAAGTCAAAGTTTAACCTGAAAAGTTCAGGTAGTAAACAAAATGTGAGAAGACCAGTTAAAAAACAATTAAAACTAATACACATGTTAGGAACTATAAAACATATGGCTGACAAAGGCTTTATGGCTTGCGGGTGCTTTTGCAGGATTTTTTGGATTGGACTACTCTATCACATTGAAAGTATAATAAAAAAAACAAATTATATATGGTAATTTAATGGAGAACCAAATGATATCTTTTATAGATGAAAATATGCCTTAATGGTGAATGTTCCAATAGAAAAATTATTCTAAATGCACATAAAAATCTGTTAAAGCATGGTTTGATTCAAATATAATCGCTGTAATGCAATGGCCTGCTCAATCTAATATCAATCATTTTGAGAATATATGGAAACAACATCTATAAAATTCTAAAACCTAAAAAATTAGCATTAGTATAAATTTTAAAATTATTACAAAAAATTAGTTTTTATTGATTGTTTTTTAGTTTTTGCATAAATTATAATTTCTTGCAGTTTTTACTGTGCGCTCTACACAAGTAATGGATCTTGCAGTGTTTGTGAAAGTTTCTTACACCATTGTAAAAAAGATTTTTTGATTTTGCATACTAGTTAACTGCACCTAATAAAACACCATAGTTTACTCATAATATATAATTTGCTTTTCTAGTCATAACAGTGTTTAAAAAACCAAATATTCATCTGTTCAGTAAAGAAATTACATGCTGGATGCAGTTGCTTCAATGTTCTTGCAATAAGATAAATGCCAGCAATGCTAGAATTTCTCTTGAATTTCACCCAGCATTAGTAATATTTAGAAGGGCCTTGAAATTAATTTTTACAAGTTGATTCTTTTTTTTTTCAAAAAAAAAAAATTTAATGATGTCCTAACTCATACAAAAACTTCTTATCATTTCGCCATACCACTGCTGGTATGCTTATGATAATGTTGACTCTTTGAAAATTTTCACCAAATCATCTTAGTTTTTTATCAGTTTGTCAACAATAAAAATATAAATAAATTGATATTTTGTCACAATGTTTTGCTGGCATAATTTATGCAATTTAACAATGGGCTAAAACCGGTACTAAATCAGTCTAATATATTTTATACAAACTGGTAAGAGTGCATGTTGGATAGACTGCTACTTATCAGCAGGTTGGGTATTGGTTTCCAATTTTAGTTTTAAAAAGTTTTCAAGTTAAAAAACCATAACCAAAAAATTAATGTTTTAAGTATTTTGAGCGGAAAGATGAAACATAATAAACTTTTTTTGCTTAATAGTTTAATTATTTATTAACGTATTTTATTATCTATATATTGTATAATTATATATTATATTTTTTATATTAAATTTTGTTTCTTATATAATATTTTATTTATTTTATAAGATTTTGTTTATTTTATAAGACTTTTTTATATAACTGGTAGTGGTGTAGTGGTAGAGCGCTTGCTTCACAAGCAAGAGGTTCCGAGTTCAATCCCTATCATGTCCCTGGTAGTACGGCGCTCAACCTGTTTCTCCGTGCAGCGACCTTGTTCGTCAAGGTTTGTATTTTGGAGTTACAGAGTTGAGAGAGGGTTATAACCACAATTAAGTAGCCTCCTGGTCTGCAGTGGCCTTCTTGGCCTTAGGGAATTAACATTAAAAAAAAGGTTAAACATATTGTTATTTTTTTATGTATTACTAAATTATTTATTATACTTTACAATATCAACCCAAAATTTTATGAATGTTATAGGAATTTTAAGAAGATAGTTTAACTAGCGCAACTATGTTGTGCAGCAAGCATGCTTTGTATATCAAAAATATAGTTGATTAATTTATTTTTATAATTTATATATTGTATACTTTATCTTATTTTGTACTAATTTTATTTTTAATACTAGATTTTATTTATTATATTAAAAATTACTTTTTAAATATGATAAAAATTTCATATATTTATTATATTAAAAATTACTTTTTAAATATGATAAAAATTTCATATATTTATTATATTAAAAATTACTTTTTAAATATGATAAAAATTTCATATATTTATTATATTAAAAATTACTTTTTATTTTATACAAGATTATTTTTATTTTCCAGAGTTAGGTTTTCAAAATTTAATCAAAGCTTAAAAAAAATCATGCTTTTTTTTTAATCAAGGCTTTCAACTTTCCTGATCATTGTTTTTTAAAACTACATCTTGCATTTCTTTCTTTTTAATCTTTTTCTTCATTAAATTGTAAAATTTTCCATAAAGTTTTTTTTATAGTTTAATATTAAACTATAAAAAATAATATATATAGCATAATATCTTCATTCATTCTATTTTGGCTTTCTTCGTTACTGTTTTTTAAATACCTACCTGTGTTTAAGTTGCAATATTAGTACCTTCTTCTGTCAATTGATGACATATGTTCTTCTGGTGTGTACTTTGCTTAAAATTTGTCATTAAAGAAACAGCGAAAACAGTTAAAGCTTTTATTTTTCTTATACGTCTAATATTGTAATTGATAATCATCATCAGTCTCTGTTTCAGTTTTACTGTATTGTAATTGATAGAGCATAATCATCATCAGTCTCTGTTTCAGTTTTACTAGAGTCAGAGATTTTTTATTTGATGCTGGATTTTGCTAACAACAGTTTCTGTATCTTTGATACAGTTAGATTGCAATTTTTGATCTAACATATCCTATTTCTTCCTTATCTTCAACTTGAATTTTGTAAAACCTTTTTTTTTCAGTGCTCAGCCATTAACTTTTTTCATTTGTAATATCAAAAATATTTCATTATAATTGCTGATACTGATGTCTTCTGATCTATGTGGCATTTATTCCCCAAATTTTCAACTTTTCTTGAAACCGATTTTTTTGTTATGGCCCAAATGACCCTTAAATATTTTCATCAGTAGTACTACATTAAATGCTTTTATCATATGTGTAAAAAAATAATTAATAAAAATATTTAATTGCTTTGTTGTAACTATGAGTTACCATTGTAATATTTTTTAAAGTAATAATTAAAGGTGTCATATTTTTGTTTGTATAAATTACTAACATAGAACAACAAATATCATTTTCTTTTTGATTCAAGAAAAACAAAAACCTTGAGAAAGATTCATTTCTTTCATGAAATCTCTGGCAATCATATACACGATTGTCAAAACAGTCTGTTGATTTGCCTGTTCTTCATCTTAGTTGTCCAGTTCAGTGGTTGTTTGTAGGCTTGTTCTTCATCTTAGTTGTCCAGTTCAGTGGTTGTTTTTAGGCTTCATCTTAGTTGTCCAGTTCAGTGGTTGTTTATTTACTTGCTAATACTCTTTAATAAAACATTTTTTTCGCATTCAGTTTTTACTCTTCTTTTAATTCATTGTTATTATCTTAGAGGGTTTTTAACAAGTTTCTAAATTTTCAACGACTTTCTTTTAGTTTTTCTCAAGTCATATTCTTTCTTCGCTTTCTAATCTTTTTGTTTTATTTCCACTTCGACAAATCCATTTGTATACAGTTCTGTATTGTAATTATTTTTGTTATTTACTTGAATAAAAAGAAAAAATAATTTTAAAAATTTATATAAAGTATATGAAATTTATATTTGTAACAAATATATAAATATATTAATATATATTTTTATTATTCAGTATTGTGGATATTCAGTATGCTAAATAAATTGAGTCAAATAAGAAGTCGACTCAAAAACAAACATCATAAATTAAAAAATAAACATCATAAAGGTTATAAAGGATATAAACATCATAAAGTAAAAAATCTATAAAATATCGTTACTAAGGTTACTCTAATTAACCAAAAAGATCAAGAATTTGTAATCAAGAAATGTAGACATCACGAATCTGAAGAATACAAAGGTGTCTTTGCTAGAAAAGACTGTACAATCGCCAAGTAGCGTAAATTTAACGAAAACAGATCAAAAATGAAAGCAAAAAATGAAGAGTTATAAAAATATGGACTTTTAAATAACATTTCAGAATGTCATTCACAAAAGAACAGGCAATGTCATCTGTATTGATGTCAATGAGTCAAGTGCCAAGTGTCAATATGTGTTTAAATCATCCTTAACAACCATTTCTGCAGCCAAACATAGTGCCACCAACGAGTCTATCAAAAAGGTTACGATCACCGAGAATAGTTAAACCAAAACAGCCCTATTTCAAACCGTCAATGTCTCCAATATCTATCGTTAAATCAACTGGTCATTTATGTTTTTGGGCTAACAATCCATGCTTGCTAAAAACCTAACTCAGGAAAAAGAAAATAATCTTGTATAAACAATACAAAAAGAGATGAGCTCGTTTTGATGCTTGCCTCCATGCCTAATAATAACTGGACACATCATGTTTTTTTCTGAAACCTGATTTAACAACAACTAAGACACGGTAATACCTCATGATCTCATTATCACAGACGATCCTGATCGAATCATCTATGTGTCAGAAGGAGATCCACTTGGGTTAACCCCAAGGGGTCAAGCTCATTGTTTAAATTATAGGTTCTCTTGCCGTGACAAAACATTATAAAACCAGTACGAATGAAACAAGATTAATATGGAGTAAAGCAAACTGCAAAGCGATTTCAAGGCAAATCTCTGCATACAACTGGAAACTGATGTTCTTGTCGCAAAATATTTTGAAGCGGTTAACAAGTATATCCCCTCTACATCAGTACCTTTTGTTACCAAAAAGGCTCTCTGGGTTATACCTGAGGTAATCGAAGCCAGCAAACAGAAACAAGTGTTATGGTAGAAATAGTCTAGTAGAAACTAAATCAATGGGGGTAGATGGCATTCATCCACATGTACTAAGCAGGTGTGCTAAAGCCTTTGCACTACCAGTGACTTTAATATTCAAAAAATTCTTTTTCAAGCAAATTTGTGCCTGATCTGTGGAGAAAAAAAAAATGTGTCACCAATATTCAAGAAAGGTAGTAAACTTAAAGCGCGCAATTATAGACCAGTATCATTAACGTCAGTACTCTGTAAAATCATGGAGAGTTTCATTCATAATAGTATTATGAACTTTGCCAAAAAATTTATAAACAATTCTCAGCATGGCTTTGTTCAAAGTAAAGGTTGTCTATCAAAACTTCTTGAAACCCGTGACATTCTAACAGAGGCTGTTCATCTTGGTTATGCTGTTGATGTCATCTACACAGACTTTACCAAAGCCTTCAACAAAGTTCCTCATCATAGACTTCTTCACAAGCTAAGTGCATATAGTATCCAAGGTAAACTGTTAGCCTGGATCAAATCTTGGCTTATAGGCCAAAAACAACGAGTTGTCTACGCTGGACATATGTCAGATTGGAAAAACGTCAACAGCGGCATTTTGCAGGGATCAGTACTTGGTCCACTATTGTTTTTACTATTTATTAATGACCTACCAAACAATGTCGCTCAAATGATAAAACTATACACCAACGATAACAAAATTATAGCAATAATAAAATCAGATGGCGACAGTAAATCTCTTTAAGCTGCATTAGACGATGCAGTTGAATGGTCACGCAAATGGCTTATGTTCTTTAATATTGAAAAGTGCAAAGGTATGTTGGATTAACGAACAAATCTGTCCATGAATACATGATGGCAAATATCAATGGAACTAAACAAAAGTTATCTGTTACAAAAGTTCAATACGATTTAGGAGTTCTTATTTCTGATAACCTCAGTGTTAGAGCATAGGTAGAAGCAGCAGCTGCAACTGCGAACAGTATACTAGGGTGCCTAAAAAAAGCATTCCGAAGTCCTCATTTTAATCTTTAATGTACCTTCTACACTACATACATTAAACCACATCTTGAATTTGCTGTCCAGTCATGGTCGCCATACTTGAGAAGTGATATCGCAACTCTTGAAAGAGTACAGCGTTACGTGACAAAAACAATATCAGAGCTAAAAAGATTGAAGTATGGACCCAGACTAGAGCGACTCAAATTACAAACAATGAAGAACGCAGAAGACGTGATGATCTAATTAAACAGTACAAGATCACACACAAGTTTGAAGAAATAGAATTTTTTGTGCCGCAAAGGCAACCGGCATCGTTGGCCTTTCGTAATCTTCGTGGACATAACCATAAACTTGAGCCACAATTAGTAAAGCACTGCACAGTGCATGAATTCATAACTTGTGCACAGTGCATGAATTCATAAATTCATAAGTGCACTTATTCATAAACCGGGTCACAAAAAGTTGGAACAAACTTACACAAAGTGCAGTCGGCGAGACAACAGTTATTGCATTTAAACATCATTTAATGTAAATCAACCACTGTACCACTACAGCAGGTATCATCGGGACGGAAGTGCATTATTTCCCTCTTCCTCGTCAATTTTTATTCCCATATATTGTTGATTAAAATATCAAACAATCACAACTTTTAAGTCGCATTTGTGTTTATTTTATTTTACTTTAACGACTTGTATTTAATAATAATGGATAACTGAATAAATAAATTTAATTAAATTTAAATTCATACTCTTTAACCCTAACAACTAAGTAAAAGATTAGTTTTAAAAAGTTTTCACTGTTTTTAATAGTTAAAATTTTAGAAACATTCAGTTGATTAGAAATCTTTTTCTTGATCTTGCCAAAACAAGATTTTTTTTAAGTTGGTTTTTGATGCAAAGCATGTTTAACTTAAGAAAGCTTTTTTTTTCAATAATTTTTATACCCAACAATCTAAGAGTGTATATAAATAAAGACCAAAAAAGTTGGTAACATTAATTTTTAGTCCCAAAGATAGTCTCAAAAAGTAATTGTTATAATTATATAAATATATAAAATAATTGTTGCTATTATCCTATTGTCCACCAGTACAGAGTGACTAGCTTTTACAAAGAACAACTGAAAATGAAAAAGGATCAGTTTTTTGTCTTTCAAAATTATTAAAACTATTTTATCTGTGTAATCTTTGTTTTAGCTTTACTTTTCTCAAACACAAAATTGCAGATAAACTTTTTGCAATATGAAATTGTTTTACTGACCAGAATAAAATAAACCCTTCTGGATTGAAAATATGTATACACATGAGACTTTTTTATTTTCACAACTATATTTACTATAATTACTATAAATACTATAAATATTTACTTTAACACCATTAATAATGTTATTTTCTATTTATAATAAATGTTATTTTTCTATATTTTTTGTTTATTTATAAGTAAATATATATATATATATATATATATATATTATATATATATATATATATATATATATATATTTATATATATATATATTATATTATAATATATTATTATATATTTATTATTTATAATATATATATTATAATAATAAATATTTTTTTCTGTATATTTTATGTATGTTTATAATGAAATAATATTTTTGCATGTTGTGCTAAGAATGGCTAAAAAAAATCATTTTTGTTTAGTCAGTGGATCTCACATTGACTGAATCATGCTTTTTGAATGTCTGTAAGTATTCCTAAATTTTTGGTTTTTTTCTAACAATTTTTTTTTAGCAAATATTAATTTTTTATTTGGTAAATTTTTTTAATTTTTAATATTTATACTTTGAATACATAGATGGTTGAATAAGTAGAATTTTGAAAGGTGTTTGGAGGAAGGTAATTAGGGAAAGGTGTTTAGAGAAAGGTGGTTGGAAAAGTGTCATTTTAATACTAGAGTGGAAAACGCTTTAGATATATGAAACACATAATAAGTCAAATGACTTATTTGAAAAGTCTCTTATTATCTATTATCTTATTATTCGAAAAAAAAAAAAATTATTATTAATAAAAATGCCCAGGATTACCATTAATTTTCGGGTAACCCAGTAAAGGAATTATTTTTACTTTTTATTTACTGGTAATGAAAAAAGTTGTTCAATTTGCAATCCCTATATAAAAAGCATTTTAAATTTATGCAGAATATATGGGTGCTTGGATAAGTTTATGCAAGATATATAGGGGCTGGATTAGGTTTGGAAGATATTTGGGTACTTGGATAAATTTATGGGTGTCTGGATAAGTTTATTCAAAGTATGTGTGCTTGATAACTTGAAACAATTTCTAAACAGCTTATATTTATATCTGTTTATATAAAGTTTTATTTTTAGACATTAAATATGATAATAACTTACAATTTTTAATCTGATTTCAAAATTTTCACAATCAAAACATTTTATTAATTTTTTATTTCAGGTGAGATGCAAGCATTGCAGCAACAAAAGGTTTTTAAAAGCTTTATTTATTGTTGAAGCAAATTTTTCAATTTTATCACATATCATTGTACTTTTTATTCAATTTTTTATTTTTTTCAAATTGTTTGTTATCTGCTATTCATAAAAATTACACTAAGGTAATTTTACAATAAAATAAATTTTTTAATGGTATAAAAAAAAATCACTAAAAAGTGAGTTTGATAGTATCAGCCATCTTTTCATTCTTAACTTTTTTACTATAATGGCTGACAGCTTAAATTTTGGTATTGCTAGACTAAGTAATTAAACTTGAATTTGGAAAAGAAACTATATCTAAAGACAGTTTCATAATTATACACTCGCAATGTGAAATAATATTAAATAGTTGTTATTTTCATTTGTTGGTTGTTTTTGTGAGCTACACTTTAACATTTATTTAATTATCCACTCTGTTAATATAAATTTAATTTTTATATTGAATATGTTTTTTATTATTTATATTATCATATTTAGTCTTTTTTTATACATATATTTCTTCTATTTCTATATTATTGTCTCTTTATTCCTTTTAATTAAAGTTTGAAAAAAATGAAAAATTTGTCTATTAACAAAAAAAATTGTCTATTAACAAAAAAAATTGTCTATTAACAAAAAAAACTGTCTATTAATAAAAATATTTATTAATAGTGTTCAAACATGAAATTATGTAAACATTATTTATTCACAAAGTTGAAACATTAATTTGCGGTAAAGTATCAGGTCAGAAGTTTCTGTGTTTATTTATTGCAAAAACGAGTTATCAAGGTTATTTATTAAGTTATCTTGAGTTATTTTAAACGAGTGGTCTTTTTGTTGAAACATATTTAAAAGTAGCTGTAAAATTATTCAACAAGGAATCACCTTAAAATATAGTGTGTGCAACAAAGAATTTGCATCAAAATATAACTTAAAAGACAAGAAAGTAATAATTCATTATGTAATCCTCAGGAGCTAAGGTAATAAATGTTGCTATTTCTACTACTTGGTCAATGAATCCCATAACATTTCTTTTGATAAAGTCTGGTATTACTGGTCTTTCTTTATATGATGTATCTAGAAAAGTTTTTAAAAATCTTATTTTTTCTAAATTTCAATTGTTGTACTACTTTCATTTAACTTATCTAACCATTTAACTCCTAAACTTGACAAACAAGTTTGCTGTGTAATAAAAAATGTTTAATGCATTACTTCCAGGGATGAGGTGGATGTGAACGTTGTTTCTCTTGTTTGTGAAACTAGCACTTTATCATTGCCACATATTATGAAGCTTGAGTTATGAAGCTCTGTCAAAAAAAAAATATTAATGATACATTATCATTTATTTTTAATAAATGATAATGTATCACTATCATTTATTAATAATCCATCATTTAGCAAAGTTGCATTATTTTACTGTAACTGTTTATTTATGCTCGAAAAATTTTCATTGAACTAGTTTTTCTTTTTAAACATCATTGCATTCAAATTCACCAAGGCCTTCATGTTTTCCTGACTCACATAATTTACAGCTTTTTAAGTCTTTTTCATTTTGCTTGTATTTTAGTCTTTGTTTTCAAGTAATTTGGATACTGGTTGTTGTTGGAATTTTTTTGAATGTTTTAAAGTAAAGACAAGCCTCGTTTAAATTTGTTTAAAGTAAAAATTTTGGTGGGTTAGCTGAAGTGGCTATTTGAAAAAGAGTTGCAGCTGGTGACATCTTCACAACTTTGGGACAATTTTAGGAATTTTCAGCTGCAAATTTTAAGATTATATATTTTTTTTAAAGAGATAGATCTTCTGTACAGTATGAAGGAACCTTGTACTTCAAGTACTCCCATACAATATCCAAAAATGAATGGATCATCTAGACCTCAGATCATAATTTTTAAATTGTTCTAATTTCTTTTAAACTTCGTTTGTTTATTTTATTTCGAGAATATGTGAATAAAGACTGTGAGGGCTTCTCCTTATATAATTTCTCATCAGCTTTAACATCAGATTAATCTGAAATCTAGTGATACTAAAGCAGTGCCAACTGTTAATGAAAACACAACGAATGATTTGATCATCTTTGAATGATTGTTGATCAATAGTCCATTGCATTATTCCATCATTGCATCATTGCATCAGCAGTCCAGACAGATTCACTGAACTGCCTATGTATTTAGTGATTTTTTCTAGTTTAATAAAGTTGTTGACACTGATTGAGTAAAGATTGAGATGCAAAGTTGATAGTTGCAAAATAGATATATTATTCTGCCTAAAATGCCACTAAAGGTCACATCTGGAATGCTACAAAAGATCACTTCATGGAAAGAAGCAAAAATGGAAATATTTTAAAGAGGGAAAATACATATAAAGAGTTTATATGCTTTTCTTTCTGTTCCAGCTATTGAATTCTGAATTCTGACTTTTTTTTTTTTTTTTGGGGGGGGGGGGGTAGTAGAAACGGGAGTGAAGGAGTAAGGTTTATTTTAAAATAATATTCAATTATTAAATTAACTTTTCCTTATTCTGTGATATTTGATATTTCATTTTAATATTTTCCAGAAAACTTATTGTTTTTTTTTTCTCTAGGAATCAAACTGCTTAGAAATGTTATTAAATGATGCAAATTCACAGCATTCAAAAAGTCTAAAGGCGATGGTACTGCATTCCTTAGTTTCGAATGATCGTGCAGTTGATCCCGTTTTACCGATGTTTCACAACGGAGAATCATCGCACGGTCCTCTCGATGGACTTACCTTTGAATTATCTAATCAAGGCGAGATTAAACCGAAAGAGCATTACCTCTAACCTTTAATTCGCACCGTAATTGTAAAACCAAAGTGCAAATAGTTTTATTTATAAAAATTTTTAAGAAATCTTTTAATTATTTATTGAAGAATTTTTTTTTTTTTTTTTTTTTGTTAATTTATCGATAAATTATTTTTTACATAAAAAAAACTTTTGTATGAAACAGCTTTTAAAACTTCCCAAAAAATTGTTAAAACCTTTTAAACATTTTTTTGGCCTTGCACTTCGGTTTTATGCTCAGGTAACGAATTGTACGCTCAGGTTACGAATTGTACGCTTAGATTACTAATTGCACGCTCAGGTTACGATTTGTTCGCTTAGGTTACGAACTGTACGCTTAAGTTACAAATTGCACGTTTAGGTTACGAACTGTAACTTCCAAATTTAAGTAGTCTAAATTACCTTATCGGAAAAAACTCTAGTGAAACTAAATTTTTACTTAAACAATTAATTTTATTTTATTAAACACGTGATTACAAGGTAAATGAATTTTATATTTACAAGGTTATATTAAAAATTTTAGTCTTAAAAAAATTTAGGTACTTTGGTACAACTTTAAGTTTTTGGTCACTTGTCCGATAAGGCCACGTAATTATTACGACGTAATTATTACGACGAATATTTTTTTGTAATAAAATGCCTGCTAAAATTTCTTAGACAAAAGGGTCACCAAAAACTGAAAATAATTCAAATGTTTATAAGTTTAAAAAGTTTGTATATTAAGTATATATTTATTTATTTTATAAAACAATTTTTTAGCTTAAGTGGTTTCTTTTTCTTTATGTTTTTGGTTTTATAAGTTATAAAAAATGGTTTCGAACATTTATAAAATGAAATTCCCGTTGTTATTGTAACACTCGATAATTTTGGGCTTCTTTTATGCTCAACATTCTTTGAGTTTCTTCATGTTCACGTTGCTTCGTTTTTAAAACGTTAGTTAACACTTCGGTTTGTTATTTTTAAGTGTTTTATCAGAATATTTTTTTTAATGTATTTTTTAAATCTCCCTTTTAATTTTAACTGTTACGTCAGATAGATTTTTTCTTTTTTAACAGAAATTTCTTACTTAAATGTAATGTTATGTTCTTGAAATAGCGTTTTATTCTTTTAGTTAAATTTGTTTTGTATTTGATAATATATTCGTGGAATATTATTCAAACAATTGAGAAATTATATATATATTTTTTATTTATATTTTCATAACTACATATTAATTAAAATTTTTTGCACATAGTATAAGCAAATATACTTCTGTTACAAAAAATATTTAACCAAACACCGTTAAGATATGCATAACAGAAAAAAGTAACACAAAGTTGATAAAGAAAAAAAAAATAAAATTTAGGAAGCATTAATTAAATATATTATTAAATACTTGATAAGGGATCGTCCATAAATTATGTAACGCAAACTTTCACAATAAACAAAACAAAAAAGATCAAAGGTTTTCCCTCGCAGAATCTTAATTTAAATAAAAAATCAGAATAGCCCGTTAAGTTTAATGAAACTTGCCGTGTAAAAGGGCTTAATATCTCCTACTCCTGTTTTTAAAATATATTTTGCATTGCGTAATTTATGGACGATCCCTAGTTATATTGTTATAGTTAAATTCTCATAAGACTGAATAAGTCTTATCATCGAGAACCTTGTGGTAATATGCAAAATATGTGTAAAACGTAAAATGGTAATACCAAAACAACCGCGAGCAATAGCGCCAATCAAAACTCAACAATCTTTCTAGTTATCAAGTTCTTTACGCACATATGGCCTTAGGTACAAGCAAACTATATGACCCTAGATACAAGCAAACTATACGGCCCTAGGTACAAGCAAACTATATGGTCTTAGGTACAAAACTTGATAGCATCATAAAAAATGAACTTTAGACCATCAAAAAGCGTTTTCCAGTTATTACTTGCCGTAGTAACAAAATAGGAATAAAAATTAAAATTTTTGTAACTAATTACCTGAGTGAGAAGCATAGCTTAGAACTTTATAGTTTTCAAATAAAGTTGGGTGGCCGTAGGTCCCCTACTTTTAAATAAATATTTTATAAACATAAAAATAACCAAATAACAAACATTGTAGTTGTAATATTTTTAATATGTACTAAATTTACAACTATTGCTGGAGATTTTAAATATAATATTTTCAGCCTTTATTGATGATGTCTTTAATAATGTCTAATCGAAATTCTGTGGGATTGTTTTAAAATAAACAGAAAAAAAACTTTTTGCAAAAGTGCCTACACAAAGTAACGTTCCAGTTTCAATCGATCAACAAGTTTAAAATAATAGTAATACTCATAATAATAATTCGAATATCCGAAAGTTTATGAAGAGAAAGCAACTTAATAAAATTTTTTACAAGTTTCTAAAGATGGTTTTACAGTGAATAGAATGAACAGAAAAGACGCGTTTTTAAGCTCTGAAATTTTTTAACCAAAACTTAACTTAAAATTTCATTTAATGTAAAAAAAAATTTCTATTTTGTAAGCATTATTGCTATTGTTCAATTTTTTTTTTATAAATATTAAAAGTATCAAAAAACTATTCTCTGAAATGTTTGAAAAACGACATTCTTGACGAAACTATCAAAAAACTATAAAAAGATCAAAAATATTTGCTTCAATAACAGCTGCAAACATGAAAATTGTTACTGAACAACACGATAAGAAAGATAAAGATAGTATTGTTAACTCAAATAAAATGACGTCACAGAGGAGCTTGAAATAACGAATAAATCCTTTACTTTGCCACAGAATGCAATGAAATGCAGACAATTATACTATTTCAGGTAAATTAGAACTACAGTTAATTCCCAGTAAGTCTAACAGCGAACTCGAACTTTTTTTTATCTCGAACTGATTCATTTGGTCCGTTGAAATTGTTTAATTAATTACTACAGTTGACTCTCAAACTTTTGTCTATCTCAAACTTTATTTTTGATCCCTTGTGCACTCTTTTGAGTCAAAATCCTCTTGATACCTCAAACTCTCGATGTCTCGAACTTATTTCCAGGCCCCTTGAGAGTTCAAGATATCGAGAGTCATCTGTATTAAATTTCAGTACAGCGTGAACACATTACGTAACTTCTTTCACTAAAACATTTTTCACGCTTTTATTAGTATAATGGTGTATGTTTAATGTTTATGCTTAACATAGAGTAAAGAAAAATTGCTTTAATTCAAACTAATTTCATATCAGTCGGAGCTCAATTTAACGGGAATTAGCTTTAATCGAACATTCGTTAAGTCAAACCATTTTCCTTGGTCAAATCATTTTCTTTGGAGGTTCTAGTTATCGGGAATTAACTTTACTTAAGGAAAAAACCAAAGAAATGAAAAAAAAAAAACAAAGCTTGTACTAAACTAGATACAATTTTATTTGCATATGACACAAATCTATTTTATGCACATAATGATATAAATATTCTGTTTAAGTCGGAAAACAAAGAGTTATTGAATCTTAGTTTTGAATACTAACTATTGAATGGTTTTCAACAAAAAAAATTATCACTAAATGTAACCAAAACGAAACTTTTTTCCATCGTTTCCATAATCAAGGTAGCGCAACGGTTAGAGTTCTGGCTCAAAATCAAGAAGTTCGATACCTGCGTTGATGCCAAAGTAAAAGAAAGTATTTTTCAAACAGGTTTTCCTTATGATATTGTTTAAACTAACAAATATGGTTTTACTGATAAAATAACTTTAAAAGTCTTTTTAAACAGTTAAAAGTTTGACTTTACAAGTGTAGCAGTTGAAGTCTGTTTAAGGAGCACGTCGCCAGAATAAGATTAGTAATATTTTTTGAGCTGCTATAATTTATCATTTTAGTTAAATAAATTCGCATTACGCAATAACTATTTTAATAACTTTTTTTGTGGGTTATTAACTAATATGAAGCTATGGAAATGGTATAAGATAAGTGAAGGCCGATGCACGGAGAAACAAGTTGAGCGCGGTACTCGAACACGGAATTTATCGCTTACCAGGCGAGCGCTCTACCACTACACCACTACCGCATGTACACTTGAAAATAAAAAGTTTCTTATATAAAGTATATATTAAGGTATAACTTTAACCGACAAAGAAATAGTTATTTTTTGAGCAAAGAAATGAAATCAAAGGTAAATAATAATTTTGTGCAGAATATTGAAACTTTTTTTAGTCTAGCATTTCAAGGACTATTTCCTAAAAACTCTGGTTAATTGGAACAAAAAAAAAAAAATCGAGTCCGGAGTTTAAGGAGTCCCAATTTTTTGACTCGGTCCCTGTAGAACTTTGCATCCCTGCATTCAAAACTACGGAATACAAAATTAACTAATGAATTTTAAAAAGTTGCAACGCCTAATGAGTTTAAGAGATAAATTGAGGCAAAAACTCATAATTGATATTAGGGTGGTACAACACCAAATATTCTCTCAAAATCTTCATAATTCATATTAGGATGGTACAGCACCCAAAATCTTCAAAAAAATAAAAATTGTTATTTAGCTCATTTGATAGGCAATTTATTGTAGATTAATAATGTATAAAGTTAGCTTCCAATTTTTTTTTTAATAGTGAGAAAAAATAACTTTTATTGATACAAAAAAAATTCCGTAGCACCGCAAAACATCTATAAACACAACTAGATGATTTCTAGTTTGTTTTGTAATTAATAAGTCATATGCTTAAACAAGTTTTTATAGTGGTTTTATATTACTTTCTTAAAATAAATTAAAAACAAAATCGCTAAATGCAGCTTAATTTGTTGAGTAGTCTGACTGATTAAAAAAAAAACTTGTTCTGCATAAAAGACTTGGATTCTTTTAATCCTTAAGATGGTCAAATCCTATGTTAGAAGGAAAAAAAGACATTACCAAGGCATTAATCGCTACGACAAAGCACAAAAAATGCAAAGCCAAGGCATAGTTATACTACAAGAGCCAAATTCTTTTATAACAATAGCCAGTGCAAAAATGATTTTGTCTATAATGATTTCAACGTTGAAATCATTTTTGCACTGGCTATAAAATTTATTGAGTTAGACAAATATATTTATTGAGTTAGACCAATAATATGGTTGCAACACTAATTTATACAGCACCCAAACATAAAAATACAAACATAAAAATACAAACATAAAAATACATACAAAAATAAACTAAAAAAACAGTTGCTATCTAAAAAAGATTACGTAGCTAATAGCCACAGCCATTTTAAAACCTTTAAATTTCCTACCAACTTGAGACGCATGCGCACCTAAACATAACGCTTGAAAAACGACCGTGCTTTATAATGAACTTTATAATGAACTTCAAGCCTATTGTCTACGTTGTATTTATAACCACAAACATTGATTACTTATTTTATTTATAAAATAAAACTAAAAATATTTACCATTTAATAAAAATGGTTTCACTTAATTTAACAATTAATTGTTTTGTCAAAATATTCACTTTTACTGAAATTGAAGTAGAAGGCTGAATTTTTTTATTAATGAAAAAAAAATTATGTAATTCAAAATCATCATAAAAAATTAATTAAAAAAAAAAAAAGTGGTTAAACTACACAAAATTTATAAAAAGTTAATTTTAAATCTCCCCCCCCTCCTCCCTATTGTAAGTGAATACTAAGAATTTATTAAGCTAGAAACAGAGAGAGGGTAACCCTTAGGTGGCCTAAAATAATTTATATTTTGCGCTTTCGTTCGTAGAGACTAAAAACATCATAAAATATTTATTTTAAATAATTTTTATTATTAATAACTATTATTAATATAAATGAAAAAATAATCATTTAAATAATTATTATTATAATTAATTAATATATATTTTTTTGATATCCATTTCTACACGCTTCTCCGTTTTTTCAAATGCAAAAAATTAAATTAATTTAGACCGCTTAGCGGTAGGATTACCCAGAAAGAGTATAACTTGACTTCAACTCTTTTTCAAGAGTAAAAAAAAAAAAAAAGAATCACTTTTTTTTTTTTTTTTTTTTTTTTTTTTTTTTTTTTTTTTTTTTTTTTTTTTTTTTTTTTTCAGCTTACAAAGTTAGTCGTTTTACAATACAATAAACTATTAAAATTACTTTACAAATATATATATATACAAATCGTGATAACAGTGTA